GACAGAACCATATTAATCACAAACAGCTCTGTGCTTTTTATTTCCATATTAGTAACTGGAGATTCCTGAGGGTTAAACTGCTAAAATAGGTTCATTGATCATGGAGGACACAAGACAGTTTATACTGAGGTTCCCTTTATTTCTGACTATTTCATTATAACCATCCAAGCAGGGGTAACACCTCAAGTATTTCCTAAGCCTGAATCCCAGTGTAGAAAGTTGGATTTCCATTTCTGACTTTAGGACTCATATCCCTGAAGGTCCCGAAGTCAACATTTCCTCCCTAGTCCTGTCCCCTGCTGCATCACCTTCCTTTTCCCATTCCCACCAAGCCGGTGTCTGAAATGATAGGTGCTATGCTCTCTTGAAGATGCACCTGAGTCCTAGGTTTCAGTTCCAAGTGTCTAGACGAAAGCTTTTAAAATTTTCACCCAGCTAGGCAGGCATCCAACAGCAGTACTGACAGGACTCCGGGTCACAGAATGCTCCGTTGGCACAGTGAGGTCAGGGCACTGTACTGAACACGACTGTCTTGGGATTCCCTGAGTCCCTTAGCATCTGTATCAGCTCAGCCCGGAGCTGGGCGAATCTTGTCTGGCAGAGTGCCCCCTGGGCACCGTAGCTCTCCAGAGGGGCGTCGTACATCTCCAGGTGTAACTTGCTCAGCCTGACGGTGTGTCGCAGCAGAGTCTCCAGGGCGGCCATGGAGATGGGATTGCCACGAAAGCTGAAGATTTTGAGCTGGGAGCAGCGGCTCAGGGCAGGCAGGATGACTCTGAGTTGGGTGTCTGTGATCCCGCATTCATCCAAGTCCAGGGTCTGGAGGGTGGCAGCAACTTTCCCTAGCAGAAGTTGAAGGGTCTCAGGAACGAAATTGGCCAGTTTGATGCCGCTCAGATCCAGTTCCTTTAGCTGACTGATGCTCGGGCACTGGGACAGTTGCCTCAAGTCTGATTCCGAAAGCAGGCAGTTGGTTATTGAGAGGGTCTCCAGGGGGGTCTTGAGGCACCTGGAGAGAAAGGAAGAAGTTAGTTCTGGGAAATGGAAGTGGCAAGTGCAGGAGAATGACCTCGCGTGGAAGGTGACAGTTTTCCCCAACCTCAAAGTTGTTCTCACCATCTGATGATGGTCAACACCCAGAAGGCTGCATAATGAAGAGTCTGGTCACTCAGCTCAGACTCATTTGGGACTGAGTCATTTCTCCTTCATTCATGAGACTGGATCAAGTCCAGAATCTCCAAAGCTCCCTTTCCTCACCTGTTAGGCAAAATGCCACATCTCTAGGCCACAGGAGCCTAGTGGAAAACATGCATGAAGGACAAATCCAGACAAGATTCAGCAACATCAGCTAGGGTTTCCAGCCTGCAGGGCTCACTACATTCTCGTGTCACCAGCAGACCATCCATCACTTCTTACAGTTCTTCACTCCAGCTCCCTCACTCTCGAGTGCAGAATCTTGCATTTCCCATATGTTAATTACCTGACCTGGAGCTCAGAACAACCTCTTACTGACAGGGAGTTAGAGAGAGAGTCATTTGTGTTCACAGAGCTGGTGAGGACTGAGCTTATATTTTGAAATGTGCAGGTTTGACGTGCTTTCCCTTCCTCAATACCCTCCCTCCCTCATTACCTGCTGTTCATCTTGTTAACTTACACATACTTCCTCAGGGAGAATTTACAAACACATCCTCACTAGATCTGAGACCCCCAATAGCTAGCTCCCTAGCATAGTGTCCCTCTCTATAGCATCTACCCCAGTTTATCCTTCTGCCTTTAGTGGGGCAGTTATGTGAGACCCACTTCAGGACAGAGCAGAGAACACAACATCCTAGTGTCCCCCTCACTGTCACATGGCCAGAGGCTGGTACACAGTAGACATCGTTAGTGTTCACTGTAACAAAGAAAGGCTTTGCTCTGTTCAGCAGAAAATCTCGCTATCCTTCCTTACCTGAGCACCTGGTCCAGGTGGCCTTCAAGAAAGGGGACAGAGTCCATATGAAGCTTCTGGAGGCAGTCCAGCTTGAGGAACTGAGAGGTGAGCTGGGAGACAAACTCCTCCTTTTTCTCTTGGGAAATGTTGTCAGACACATAGATGTGGGAGAGAAGGAGTTTGTGAAGATGACTCATCTGGCCCAGATAAGGAACAAACCTTTCCAGGGTGGACAATTTCCAGGTGCAATCAACTTCTACCTCCTGGATACAGTCCAGGTCCACCATTTTTAGGACCTTTGTGATATTTTGGATGGGCATTAAATAAATTTTCAGCTTTCTACAGCACAAGTGTACTAAGTCGTTCCTTTGCATGAACCACAGAAAGAGGTAGGTGAGGAATTCATCAAGGGTTTTTTCCTCGAGGCAAAGGTCTACAAACACCTTCAAGGACTGCTTCCTTCTCATCCTTGGACAGTCCTCCTCTGTTTGCCTCTTACTCATGGCCTTCAGAGAGCTCACAGGGGCACCAGACCATACAACCCAGAAGTCCTCATCAACATTCCGTAAATCCAGCACTTGGATGCTCCACCTTCTGTGGATAAAACAGTGGAGAGTCTCAGAATTCAGGCAAGGACCCACCTCTGACCTGAGCTTTATTCCATATCATGACACCAGCTGCTTCTGTGCCCACTGTTTCTCCCTCTCGCTGACTTTTCTCCTCCCCCTCTTCCCCTTGAATCCTACCTTGTTCTCTACTTCTTGTACCTTTAGATGTCCCTGGGGAGAGGTAGGTTCATGTTCCTTCAGTGATTCCCTGCATGGTGAGCAGTCCTACACTTCCAGGAACCCTTTTCCAGGGGGAGCTCTGCAATGTCAAACCTTCCCTATCCTTCCTCACTGGCACCTTCAGATGCTTGAGGTTCACCCTTCAGTCCCCAACTCTCCCACCAAGGTGTCCTTTCCCTGGACTCTTGAGTTCTCCTCACCAGACTACCTGGGTTAACCTCACCTGGGATGAACCTCCTGGTCAAGCAGTGCATCAAGCCCCTGCAGAACAGCTCGTAAGGTCTCCAGGTCAGGCGTCTTCATGAGCGCCCCTAGAGGAAGGCGGGTGAAGGGCCAGGTCTGTACCATCGCCTTCACGGTCTTGCTGCATCTCATAGCAAAGGCCTCCATGAACAGGCCTGGGTAGAGCTCAGTGGGCAGCTCCTTCAGAGCAGAGATGGCCAAAGCCTCGTTCCTCACCAAGCTCTGCCCAGCCAGTTCCAGGAGTCTGGGTGGGGCCTGGATGCTCATACTGATGAATCTGCGATGAAAGGAATCCTGTGGAAACATCCAGGGAAAAGTCATCCTTGAGCAGCCCCATCTTCTGCCAGGGCCAAAGTCACTGCTCTGGCTAAGGTGGAAGAATCTTTGTTTATCCCAATTCTACTATGCACTCACTC